TCTCTAACTAGACTTTTCTCCTCTGTCGCCCCCCGGTGGTGGAACGAACGATCTGCAGAGTCCCTTTGCACCTTTAAGAAAAAGCTAAAGGCTGCAGACTCCTGCAGCTTCAAGGACACACTTTGTATCCTATCAAGGATGCACAAAAGGTTACAGAACACGAACCAAACAAAACTTAGCTCTCAAAGTGTTTGAGTGCAAACTGCAAACATGTGAATGACAGAAACAAAGAGGCTGTGAACGACTGAGCGAGTGAGTGAGTGAGTGAGGGAGAGAGGGAGTGAGTGAGTGAGTGAGGGAGAGAGAGGGAGGGAGTGAGAGACGGAGAGAGAGGGAGGGAGTGAGGAAGTTAGGGAGGGAGAGAGGGAGTGAGTGAGTGAGTGAGTGAGTGAGTGTGTGAGGTAGTGAGTGAGGGAGGGAGAGAGTGAGTGAGTGAGTGTGTGAGGTAGTGAGTGAGGGAGGGAGAGAGGGAGGGAGAGAGGGAGTGAGTGTGTGAGTGAGTGAGTGTGTGAGGTAGTGAGTGAGGAAGGGAGAGAGGGAGGGAGAGAGAGTGAGTGAGTGAGTGTGAGGTAGTGAGTGAGGGAGGGAGAGAGTGAGTGAGTGAGTGTGTGAGGTAGTGAGTGAGGGAGGGAGAGAGGGAGGGAGAGAGGGAGTGAGTGAGTGAGTGAGTGAGAGTGTGTGAGGTAGTGAGTGAGGGAGGGAGAGAGTGAGTGAGTGAGTGAGTGTGTGAGGTAGTGAGTGAGGGAGGGAGAGAGGGAGGACACTCGCTGTCTCAGGGGATGTAAGCAAAGAGGGGATCTGGGTTATTAATGGCTGATCCAGGGTCAGTTTTCAGTCATCCATTATTGAAATGGAAAGTGTAAGACGATAACTTTAAAACTTCAGTCACTTTTATTAACTTCAGTCTATAAAACTGAAGCTTCAGAACTTTAACTTAGACAACACTTTTATAGAGATGTTTTATTCTTGTTTTATTGAATCAGTTTTGGTCACTCAGCGTTAAGAATCACAACAAAAAGTTGCAGAATATTGTTAAAATGTGAGGCAAAATTGCAGGTTTGTCCCTCTCTGTACTTCTTTATACAGAGGAAAGAGTTTGAGGGAGGCTCAGTCCATCCTGGCAGATCTCAGTCAACCTTTGTCGTCAGGCCGCAGATTGAGCCCTCCAACATGCAGGATGAAGAGGCTGAGGAACTCATTTGTCCCTGCTGCCATCGCCTTTTAAAATGACTAAACCAAACCAAAACGAATCATCAGATCAATGAGACAAACAAATGTCTGATTTTCAGAGTGTTTTTATTCGTCGTGACTTTCTGTTTTTTTACTGAAAATCTGAGCAGTGTGTCCTACACAGTGTGAGCTCTCTCTACGTCTGAGCACAAGTTCATCTCATTCACATCATTTCATCCCAATCACTTATGGATTAAAAGTACGTTTAGCAAATAATCCATCAATGTCAGATGAGAAATTATTAAAGAAGAAAGTCAACTCTCTAACACGACCTCGACAACTTAAGTGAATGTCTGCATCTACGAGGGCCACGAGTCGAACATGTTACCCTTAAGGACATGAAATAAAGAGACAATTAAAATCCAAACACGCTCAGTTAATATGCAGTAAGGCCTTAAGAGGGGATAACATCCACATCTCACACTGTAAAAGTTCTATTTTTAAGTCCTCAGCGAGTGTCCGAACACGAGCGCTCAGCCCACAATCACACACACCAAACATGTGCAGCTTCCTGACAGTGCAACGCAGACCCACTCGCCCACACGTCCTCGTCACCTCGTAACACATTACACGACTCGACCACACAGTAAATAATCAACTCAACATATCTACAGTATGAACACATGAGACACATGCAAGAGAGAAAGAAAAGCAGTGACCATCACATCCTCAAACAGAACAATCCTGCAGAGTGCATGTTTGATATTTATGACCAGTTTTATAAGATCCTCTGAGAAACATATTTTCCACATTTGCAGCTTTGTGTCAAAACCGTCCAATGAGGAAAAAGAGGATCTAGGGTCACAGAGGTCAAGACTGAATTATACTAGAAAACAGTTCACAAACTTTGAAGATTGAAACTGTTCATTGAATTGGGGTTTTAAAAATCATATATCCTCTTTTCTTTAAGTTTTATTTTTGGGCTTTTTATGCCTTTATTAGAGGGACAGGACAGTGGATAGCGTCTGAAATCAGGGAGAGAGAGAGAGAGAGAGGGGGTGGGGGGGGGGATGACATGCGACAGAACAGCCACAGATTAGATTTGAAACCGGCCCGCCTGCTTGGGGACAGTAGCCTCTGCACACCGCAGCGCATGAACCAACCACTAGTCCAACTCCAGACATGTCTAAGAATACTTTCCAGTATGTTCCTCTTTGCAGATTTTGCAGCTTGAAGATTCAAAATGTGGGCGTGTAGCAGATGCTAGAGAACCACCTCCCCCTGTACTTCGAGTTGTGTAATAACTTGATGCCCACAGAAATATGAAATTAAATCCTACACACAGCAAGAAGCAACTTTTACTGATTAACGCCAACCCTCCAAATGTCCTTTAATTCTTGCATTTACTTACAAAGATGGAGAAGTAATGTTTGTGAGGAATACGGTATTCTCTGAATCATATGGCCTGAATAAAATGATTCAAAAGGACACAGTGAAATAATTCATTTTTAGTGTTTGTTTAGGGCTTAGTGTTCCTTATCAAACGTTTGTCGGATTGTTTAAAAGCTACTGAATCGTCCCTTTAAATCTGTGCAATCTCACTACTGCGTCTGACATGTTTGCCCCTCTGTGAGATACACAAGACGACAATCTGGCAGCCTGTAGGCATCACCAGATGAGTGTGAGACTGTATAAACATGGACGTAGTCGCAATGACATCACCCACTGATTTCTGAAGAGGTGATGCCCAACGATGGCGGTCACAATTGTTGAAAAATGTTATCTCAACTAGTTTTAGAATCATAGTTTTAGAATCAGTCTTTAAACAGGTGAAGAGGTGAAGCTGAGGCGGGTCTTTGGCATCCTGACAAACAGCTACAACTCCTCAGCATGTCAGTCAACCCAACCACACCCCTAAATTATGCAAAGTTATGAATACTTTTAGGCTTGAAATGATCAGAATGGATTAGTTTATTTTAAAGTTATCCCCTCTACAGTGTGTGCCAGTAAAGAAATGAACTCTAGATACCAAATTGTTTTTTCTAACCAGGCTGTAAAGATGTTTATTCCTCCTCTAAGAATAAGCATTTGAACATGGGACCTAATGGGGACTTCTTGGTTTTTGCAGACCACTTGAGGAACTACAGTTTGCTGCACTTCCACATTGGCTTCATTATTCTACAGTAGAGGTTGCCGCTCGGTTTAGGTCAACTTCCTCTTTCACGTAAGCTGAGCAGGTGTGTAAAGTAGGCTGGGAAACGGACAAATCTCTAAAATAATGTTTCTTTTGCTCTACAGATTTGTCTGAAGTCCTGCAGGAGTCTGTCAACTCTTCTATGTTTTTGTTTGATTCTATCCGCTGATGGAAAGTCTTTTAGGATGCTGCAATAAAATGATTCTTGTTTATAGAAAAATCAAACACAGCCTGTCTTAGTTTTTTTCCTGTATGATGCACCGGCGTCCTCAAATTAGGTCCTGAGATTGTCATCTGATTAAATCCATAAATTGCTCCACAGATAGCAGAATATCTTGAAGTGATTTTCATCAACATTTTCATCGCTGTACTACAGATCAGAAATGACCGCTTTACTTGAGTCAGAGCTGGAAAAATCTACAACACTTCCTTTTTAACCCTGGGAGGAGTAATGACGGAGTGTTTTATTCTGTTCTGAAAAAAAAGAAAGAAAATGATTTTATAAATATTTTGCCCTAAGCACCCTCAACAGCTGGATCATTTGTATTTTTTAAATGCCTCAGTAAACAAAACCTGCAAACATCTGCCCTTTGAGATATGTTAAAGAGACGGATATCAACACGAGGCACAGCTCGTGAATTTTTCCAGCTGTCGTCAAAATCTGGATTATATTAAGTGTCTCTATCAGCACTTTTTGAAGCCAACCTGTGTCTAACTCGGGGACCTTTTAGCCAGGAGAGTTTTCTCTCTGCGCCTCAGATGAGCGACAGCTGCTTTGGTCTGAAACGCTTTGAAGGTCATATATCCTCCTCCTCTTCTTCAGTTTAAATAAGTCTCAGAGCTCCTCAAAACACGTGTGTAAAGTTTCTTGTTCTAAATCCACTCTGATCCTGTATTTGATCATGTCTATAAACCCCTCTATTTCAGCCCTGCTCAGAACAGGCTGTTTCTGTGTCTGTACCTTTAAATATGTAAATGAGCTGTGTCTGACCACACCCCCTCTCTGGAAGGGCTTGGGTGTACTCGGTCTTTCTCGCTCCATGTCCTATTGTTTACAGTGAGAAGGCAGACTCAGAGGGCAGAACAAACACCTATCTGTGGGAGTGTCACCCACCTGGGGGAGGGGCTACTGCCCTTTGTGATGTCATGAAGGGAAAATCTCCAAACGGCCTGTTTGAGCACACACTTTCTGAAAAGTGGAGCAGGCAGAAGACGGAGAGGATGGACTTTTCTCATCATTGGGGGGTTTGTAGACAGACTAGAGACACATGTTAGAGTTAGAGAAACATGGTGAAGTGTGTTTTGCAAATGTTAAGTTCTCATTAAACCAGACGAACACCGACCGACTTCAAAGTGTTTCTCTGCTGTCACAGCAGTGTTGTCTCTTTTATACATTAGAAAGTCTTAGAAACTGTAAAATCACATTAAGAAAGTTTAACCAAAAACAATTCAAGGATGCAACCAATCAACGCAGAAAAAAAATATTTTAAAATTCATTATTTTCCATTGAAACTTTTTTTCTTTTGTTGCCATGTAGCCGTTCTTTTAGCCCTCAAACTGGCTTAACTTGTGTTTCTAAATGTTTCGCTTAGTGATCATGAAGAAGAGAGACGTTGAGAAATAAAAACTTGGATCATGACTGAATGATTCTTCACTGTATTTTTTGCAGCTTTTAAAAATGAAACGAGGATTCTGTCAGACATTAAGAACAAAGCAAAGATACAGTCAAGGTTGATTAAGAAATGGAGAATATTGCTCAAATTGTGTTATGTTCCTTTTTTTTTTATCCCAGTTACGTTATGTGCAAGTATTTTTTTTTCCCATGAATTTCCTTCAGTGCGTCTTTGTCACAGGCAGAAGTAAACAGTTTGGAAGTGGAAAATGTCACAGAGGACAGACAGAAAAGGGTGGAGGGACACGGGGGGGAAAAGAACAAGCAAGTGGAACAAGGAAGCGATTATTAACCATTTTTTGAGAACAGAGGGAAGAAAAGAGATGCATCCAATCGTTTTTTAAAATGACCTGGAAATAGAAGTCGCAGATGAAAAGTGCTTTTTAGAGGACGACAAACCTTTTTGGTTGAGCTAATACAGACAGTCATATCTACAGTAGAAACAAGACACAGACAGGCGTCCTCTCCTCCGTCCAGAGTCACACATTTAGTTATTTACATCATTTTTTTTTAGTAGTGTTCTTCTTCATTATTCTTTTATGTTCAAAGACTCTTAATGTACACAAAGGGCTCCTTGTGCCGTGTCCGTTCTTGTGCCTCCTAACTCTTCCTCTGTGGTTAAGGGGGAGGAGGAGGAGGAGGAGGAGGGGGAGGGGGAGGAGGAGGGAGGGTCAGATCAATAATGTTACTGGGCCAGTGATAAGAGAGAGGGGGGGGGGGTGAAACTGAAGGCAGTCTTCACTCAGTGGTATCATGTCTCTGGGAGCTGGTTGATGTCAGTCAAGTTGGTGTCGTTGAGGATGACTTTGATTCGATCCAGGGACTCTGCCTGTCGTATTCGCTCCAACTGTACCTGCAGACAGACAAACGATCCGTCAATCTATGAAGTCTCCGTTCAGTGAGAGACAAGTGTGAATACATATGTTGTCTTTTCTTTCTAATTAAACCCACATAAGCAAAATCTGGCAGCACAGATATCTCTCCCTTTTGGAGATCTGGTGCTACGGCCTCCTTAATGTATAATCAATTTAACCAAAAATCAGAAATAGGAGACCAAAACATATAAAAAGGGACGCCAGACAATGAATCGAATTTCTAAAACCAGAGTTTTATTTAAATAAACTCCCCCCCTCAGGAAATAAACCAATTTAAGAAACAAACAAAATGGACTGGAGATCTGGCTAAACAGAATAAAAGATGGGAAAGTGTTGAGTCAGCCATGTAATGGGCCGTCGCTCTCTGCACTTCCCCCTTAAACTACCTCATAACAAAACTAATCTGCAGAAACTCAAACAATCCAAAATAGGACTACCTGTCTTTCCAACCCAAACTAAAATAACAAAATCCAGAAATGTGGACATGCATGGGGGAAAACAAAAAACAAGCCTGGAACAATTTAACGAGAAACGAGCACCTCACATCGCCTCAGCCCAAAATGTTTGCATGTAACACCCCCACACTAAGATGTTGAATATACTGTATGAGCAGCAAACATATATTCAATATAAACAGCACGACAACATATCAGCACTTATTCTCTCAACTACTTACTCGTAGTGCTACACAAAGATAAACAAACCACTGCTCTGTCCTAAGTGTTCTTGTTTAAGGCGTCTGTAGAAACATTTTACACCAAGAATTCTGAAGCTCATTGATGTGTTGATAAATTGAATTCAGACGGAGCTATCGAGTTTTGTCTATTGGAAGGATACATTCATAGTTGGTGGTCCTGTTTTGATATTTTGCAGGGGGGTGTTGCTGCCAGATTTGCTGTTCAACATTTATTACACAACGCTGTGTGTAAAGCGGTTTTCTCGTTCTTACCTGAAGAGTCTGAGAAAGTTTGACAAAGTCCTTCTGAACCTGCTCGCTGACGTCCAGCTCCGTCTGCAGCCGCTGAGCTTTGTCCTTCTCGTCAAACACCTGACTCTCTAGTGCACTCTGCAGGGAACACACACACACACAGAAACACACACACATAAATTAGAAAGAACATTTGCTGAATTATTTAAAATGACGTTCACTCACTCAGTCTCTGAATGAAAGTCATCACATCGCACAGATTTATAAAAAACTGTAAAACATTTATACTCTTAACATGCAGGTTTATTCTTGCATGCTAAGGCCTCGAGTCCACCTAGTGTTTTCTTCCCGGGCAGAAAAGCGCCGGCTGTGCTCTGAGAAGAAACGTGCTGCACGTCCGTCCTGTCTCTATGACAACAGTCTGTATGACCGACACTGTTACTTTTTACTTCATGTTTGATATTTGAGATCCTGAGTGCTTTGTGTGAGTTCAACGCCTCATCTCACCACAATAAACACATCAGCTCGGCCTCACCGCCTCCCGTTATTACTTTAAAATGAATGAATTCAGGGTCAGACTTCCTCCACACACGCTTTAGGAGATTTCACTGATACACTCTGTGTTCTACTTAGTGACAAACTGGATCCATTTTGTGTCAATGTGAAGTTAAAATGATCTTTCTTACCGGAGCGTAAACATGTTTGACTCCATCTGAGGAAGTGTTGGGATTCATGTGATTAAATTCAAATGTACCTGGTCTTTAAGTTGCTCGTTTTTTTAAGCATTTTAAAAAAATTTTTTTTTATCCTTTTGCAAATTCTTGAGCACATTTAAAAATAATATACTAATGTCTGTAGGCTCAATAAATGGAACTGTGATTTCAACAGAGGGTCACTGGTTGACATTGGCTGTGTTACATTATTCTCCATGTGTTGTATCCGTCACAGATGAAGAATTGAAACTCAGCTCGGTGGAATCGACGTTAGCTACACTCTGATATCGTAGTGACATGAGGCACATTGTAAGTTCAGTTAAAGGTTTGTAAATGTGTTATTACTAACCTTTGCAGCGGTGAGATCTTTGAGCTGCTGCTCCAGGCTGCTCCTCCGGCTCTGGATGCTCGACAGTGTTTCTGTCTTCTCTGCTAGACTGCTCTGCAACTACACACACACACACACACACACACACACACACACACACACACACACACACACACACACACACACACACACACACAACACACACACACCACACACACACACACACACACACAACACACCACACACACACACACACACACACACACCACACACACACACACACACACACACACACACACACACACACAACACACACACACACACACACACACACACACACACACACACACACACACCACACACACAACACACACACACACACACACACACACCACACACACACACACACACACACACACACACACACAACACACACACACACACACACACACCACACACAACAACACACACACACACACACACACACACACACACACACACACACACCACAACACACACACAACACACACACACACAACACACCACACACAAACAATTTATGTTCTGTAACTTACAGAAAGTTTGTTTGGTACATTTTAGTCACAGTGAGTTTCACTTTGTAATGGACGTCCCCTTCTTTTTGTTCAGAGAGCTCTGGAAGCTTCCCTTTGAAGGTTTCATACTTCATGATATCAAAGAGCAGGTACCTGTTGCTTCTCCGCCTTTATCCGCTCCAGCTCCGTCTTCAGACTGGAGAAAGACGCTGTGGGAGAGAGATTTCATCAGAGGACCATAATGTACTGTACAGCCGAAAACTGGATCTCAAAGCCAAAGAGATTCTCTCTAGAATTATTATGTGATGTGTTGACCGAGTACTTCAAACTGCGTCGTGTGTGTGCGACACAACCTTAAAGTTTAGAGACTCGCTGAGTCTGTGTGACAAACAAATAATTAACTTTTCTTTCATAAAAATGGCTGCACTGATTTTTTGTTTGGACAGCTCATTGCTCTTAAAGTGGTCAAAATGTTCAATACTTAAACTTTTGGATACCCTGTGTTTAAAACTATACAATCTGTGTTCATTTAAAGATTTATAGAATCGTAAAGTACCAAAGTTTAAAATAACTGCAGATCTTAAGTCATATTTTTTTAAACCCAAAGAGAGAGAGTAAACTGACACACTGTCTAAATTGCATAAATATGTTGGCAACATCTTTATGCAATTAAGTGCTTCAGAGGTTGATGTCATTTTGGCAATTATAAAGCAAGAAATTAGCCGGTATAAGGTTCCTAAGTCTCGTATTGTTGTTGCCGTGGTATCGAGACAAGTATAGACATCATCTGATTTTTACGAGAATCATATTGACATTTAAAAACCTGATACTGTGACGAGAGACGACCTACTCTGTCATGTTAAAAAGACGAGAAACTCGCACCAAAGTCATCTCTGTGTCTCCAGCAGATAGTTATCAAACTTGGTCCCCTTTTGTTTTTTTATAAATTAGAAAACTTTAATAAATAAATAAAATTGTGCTCTGCTAAATTTATGATGTGAAAAACATTCTGCAAAGTTTTCTGAATTTTAACATTTAACTTGGACGAATTAGGGAGCTCCAATAAACTAGCGGTTATGTTGCACGCCCCATGTACAGAGGCTGTAGTCCTCGTCAGAGCGGCTGTGGGTTCGAATCCGACCTCGGCCCTTTGCTGCATGTCACCCCCCCACTCTCTCTCCCCCTCCAACACTTCCTGTCTCTCTGGGAGGAATTTGGACGTGTTAAACTGCAGCTGAGCCTGAAAATGTCTCGTAACTGTTCCTCCTGTAGACCTTTAAAGAAGACGTGTTCATGCTGTGAGTGAAACGTACTATTGTTGTAAGCTTCCCAACAACGTCACCTATAAACAGGAAACATCCTCGTATGACATTTTAAATTCACAGTGACACACATTATGACTTCAATCTGCGCAGCAGGGACAGCATTCAGTGAGGTGAATCGTCTATTAATGCACATTGGAACCTTTTCTAAAGACAGTTAAAAACATGTGAGGGAAAGCGGTACGTGGTCGGCTCACTGCAGTTATTAGTCCGACAGCTACACGATAAACAAACACAAACAAGCAGTTAAAGTCGGCTCATTCCAAACGTTTGTCATACCTTCCAAGATGTCTGAATGAAAGTGATGGACGGAGAGGGAACAAAAGCAGAAGAGAATGAAGAGAATATCCAGAAAATGAAAAGATCTCTCCACAAATGTTTCAGAGAGTTTTTGCTCGCTGACATTTCTCTAAATACGATCGGTTAAGTCATATATCCGACCTGCTGATCACCGCTGTGTGGATGATTTAATCAGCAGGCGTGAGACTCACCGATCTCCTCCTTACAGCCCTCGATCTCCAGCTGCAGCGTGTCCTCCAGGTTCTCCTTCAGACACTGCTCCGCTTGGATCTGCTCCTTCAGGAACAGGATCTCCGCCTTCAGCTTCTCCTCCATGTGATCGGCGGACGTCCGTAACGACACCAGGTCCTCACGGAGCCTTATCGCCAGGCTTTGTAGCTCCTGAAGAAGAATAGAACCAAGAAATTACAGAAAACACTTTGTGGAATTATCATCATCACCGTGCAGCACCGTTTGTGGAGACGAATCAAAAATCCTTCAAATCTCTGGTTAGAAAATGTTGTGCTGTATGCAGATGACACACCTTTGTACCAATCTGTTGAAACATACAGTTTTATTTTTTTTTCAATTTGAAAACAGAGGTGGGGGTCAGTATCAAAGCAATACCAGCATTCAATCCCAGATGTACCCAGATCTGGAAACATTTTCATCCATATTAGGGATGTGTGCTTTTAGTCGACTAGTCTGAACTGTCACAATTTTGGCCTTTGATGCCGGTCGATACAGACACCCACCACTAGATGGCTGTAGCTCCGGTTAATGAGCCCTCTCTCCTCACTCTACAACCAGGATGTAAACAAGCCACAGTGAACAGATATCTCATAGGAGCAGTGTGGTTTGGAAGTATTTTAATCTGCAGCTGTGTCATTTAACTGGAATATTGAGCGGTGCAGTGTGTAACCACATTCAGCACAGCTGCAGGTAGGACTGGAGGCTGATGTTGCTAGCGCTGCTAAATTTAACCCCACACTGTAAACCTTATAACATTGTTAGATGCTGATTTAAAAAAGAAAAAAGATAAATCGTCTAAAATCTGACTGTTTTCTTACCTTTAGACTAGTCGCTTATTAAGAATTTAAATCTTTGTTAAACCTTTAAGAAAACATTCGGCCGGCTTTTTATATTTTTATTTCAATTTATATCAGATGTTTTTCCCTCTAAATTATTATTATTTTTTTAGCATCAAGCTACTTTCATCTTTAATCTGCTCAATTTATCCGCTTATCCGAGGACTAAGCCTCACGTTTTGAAAAGTTCCACTCGATATTCCGTTATTTATAGAGTCAGCACAGCATCAGCATCAGCAGCTGTACATTAACATTTTTTAAAAACAAAGCCATGAGAAGCTTCAGTTTGGAAAGGAGCAAGGCACCTCAATCGTGCATTTACAAGAGGATGAAGGTAAATCTCTCTCTCTA